ATGGATAGAGAAGATAGGTGGAGAGGAAACAGACAGGTCATAGAGGCGGAGATGGAGCCAGTAAAGGTGTGTGTAGGTGGGGAGTTAGGGAGGGGATAGGTCAGTCCAGGGACCTATCCCCTTCCTAACTCCCCACCTACACTCACCTTTACTGGCCCCATCCCCGCCTCTTCGACCTGTTTGTTTCCTCTCCACCTGTCCTCTCCTCTATCCATCTTCTATCCGCCTCCCACTCTCTCCCTACTTATTTCAGAACCCCCTTCCCCTCCCCCTTTTCTGATGAAGGGTCTAGGCCCGAAACGTCAGCCTCTCTGCTCCTATGATGCTGCTTGGCCTGCTGTGTTCATCCAGCCCTGCACCTTGACCATTTTATTACATGCCACATTGCTCTTCCCTCATCCATCCATAAGTACTTTTATTTCTCACTATTACCAGCAACAGCTTCCTTCCCATTCCTGGCGTGGCACTGCTGCAGTTACCAAGGAGAGATCCTTGGTCCTATCTTCCTCCATGATATCATCTGCAGAGTCAGCTGGATCTGTCCTCAAGCTCTCTCAATCTGCATATGGACTGCAGCAGTTCAAGAAGGCAGCTCACGACCAAGGACAAGGGATGAGTAATAAATGCTGACCCAACCACTGATTCTCACATCCCATAAAGTAAATAAAATAAAACAAGAAAATACAAAACAAAAATTCCGGTTTTCCAAATACTTTTCAAAATCCAGTCTCAGATTAATCACCATATCCTGAAGGTCAATATTGTAAAAGCTGTCTTTGGTCTCCAACAGAAAATCCATTTGTTTACCATTGATTCTAGCCTCCTTCCACCACTATCTGAATCAGAACCAGACTGAATGCACCAAACTGACCTTCAGGTCTTGTGACAATAAAGATCACACTTGTGTCTGCTTATCCAATGACTTTTTGCACCCTTGAATAAATCCTGATGCATACCCCTGTCACCCGCTGAGTTGACTTTTACAATGCTCTGCTTGCTGCCTTTCCAACCTTTCACTGTACAAAATTTCTTGCTAGAGATACTTTTAGTCAACTTGTTCCCATGTGTTAAGACACACCTCTGAAGCAGGTAGGTCTTTAATCCAAACCTTTTTAGGTCAGGGGGCCTAATGTTTTAATGTATTCTTGCTCACACTTCATGACTCATTGAGTTTAATGGAACCCCAAGATGAAGTCATGCTATCCTCAACTACTCTTGAAATGACAATGAATCAAAGGTATGTCTTGCCCATTCCCCAACATTCAAAATAAAAATTCCATTTCTCAACCTTTAGATGTTTCCACAACCTTTCCATCAGCCTATCCTCCTCCATCCATGTATCTTCTCTGTGACCAGGCAGCACGGTGGCTCAGTGCCTCACAGCGCCAGGGACCCGGGTTTGATTCCAACCTCAGGCAACTGTCCGTGTGGACTTTGTATGTTCTCCCTGTGTCTGTGTGGGTTTCCTCCAGGTGCTCCAGTTTCCTCCCACAGTCCAAAGATGTTCAGGTTAGGTGGATTGACCATGCTAAATTGTTCATAGAATTCACGGATGTGCAGGTTACGTGGATTGGCCATGGGAAAAGCAGGGTTACAGGGATAGGGAAGGGGGGAGGGGAGGGTAGGTGATAGGTCAATGGGCTGAATGGCCTACTCCACATTGTAGGGATTCTATGATTCTATGAAAAACTTTAATCCCCGCCTGTGAGCGTGAACCTCCACTTACTTTGGTGACAGAGCTTTTGACAAATTTTACTTCTTCCCTCAGCTTCTCTTTCTCTATCCTTTTAAGAAACCTTTTCCAAATGCATCCCATCAATGTATTTCTTAATTACCATTCCTTAAAGTTCCAGCGCAGCATTCCTCTTCCAGCAACGTTAAGTGGCAGTACTTCTAAAAGAACTAAGATGTCTGTGTTCTTTATCATCTTAGGCAACACCTTGGGGGCTATTTTACATTAAAGGAAATACATAAGTGCAAAAAATTGAGACTCCATTTCGTGAACCGAAACGTCTGAACAAAAACAAGCCAGCTCGGCGAGCAAGTCAACCACCTCATCCACAACCCGAGCTACAGGTCTTTGCCAAAACTTTAAACTGAGCTTCTCTCCAGTCAGGGAAAATATCTGACAGCAAACTGAACTACATTTGGAAACAGTTCTCCTGTTTGTAATGTTTGGAGGCAAGAACTGTAAAATTTGATACAGACCAAAGTTTTGTGAAATAAGCAGAATGCCTATATTTAGAGCTACGAAACAGCAAATGAAACCAATTCTGAAGAAATTAAGAAAGAAGGTCCAGCAGGCTCAGAGAAATTAACTGCAAGAACATGGGGGAATGAACAAAACTGAAAGGCGTTCAAAGCAATGGTACAGCATTATTAACCATGGCTCTTTCTTGATATTACTGGGGATAACAGCAGATGTCAAGAAGGATATGGGCACATCCACACTGAAAGAAACTGGAGGGAAAATCACATGAGACTGATCTTATATGTTTAGAACTCGCAAGCTCAAAAGGAATACCGACAACAGCCTAGGAGCCTAGTATAAGCCAGCTGCCAGAGAAAAATGTGAAATTAAATTGAAATGACAAGTCTCCTAAATTAGAAAATTCAGAACAGAACAATACATACAGCAGAATGACGTACAACAGAAAGTTTGCATACAAAAGTCTGACTAATCCAAGATCAGCAGTTATCAGTCCAAATTGCATAAAATTGCCCTTG